ATTTAAGATCGAGTGATATTTAGCCGACACAACCTAAACAAATCGAAGGTCTCGTCAATAGTAGTACAACGGTAAAAAGACTGACGAAAACGGACGTCGGATGAAGAAGTTATGAATTTTTAACGGATTTTCCTCCGGTCTGTTAAAAATAATAATATTAAAATTAAATTAAAATTAGCCGATGAAGTCTAAAAGAAATTTGTAGAGCGTAATTTTAGCTACGCGTGCATATAAAGAACGTCAAAAATGGAGCTTGTATGCAAAAGTTATGGATTTTAGAAGTTCGGGGCTCAAAATTCGAAAAATTCGCATGAACAGTAGTCGACCACATCACCCTCGCCTCGCGTACCGAAGCTGCTGCGTCACCGAGATGTGGCCGAATCCGGATCCGAAGCATGTCGCAATTCCCTCGGACTGAAGTCTCGGTCAATCAGAAGCGGCCTCGTAGCATCGCGTGTCCGAATCTCGCAGGGGCCACGTCCGAGACTCGTAGCCGCCTCCGTGTCTCGCCCTCGTTGCTGCCACGCGCCTCGCTCCTTCCCCTGCCACATCTTCCCTCCGTGTCCGAGCCTCACAAGCACTACGTGCAGCCTCCTTAGCCACAGCCTCTCGGTCTCGCACCCTATATAAAGGGGGGGCTGCGAGCCTTCCCGGGTACTTTTGGAAATTTGACATTTTTCACCCCTAAACTTATATTTTGACTATTTTGACTTCCCCCGAAGCCCCGGTATCATTTTTAAAGCCCGGAATACGTCCCGAAGTGCCCAAAAACCTGGAAAAAATTATCTTTTTGGTTTTGAAGCTCCAACCCTCGCAGAGCCCGGTTTCTCAATAAAACTCCCGGTTTTATCAGAAACGATCATTTTAAGGAACGAATTGCTGCCCGATTATCATCAAATCAAGTGAGTGTATAGTCACTTTCATCTTACACATAGATATGAAGTATTTTCTATAAAATACGTGTTATGTGTAATTATATTGATTGTTTATTTGAGATGATTGTTGAATACAATGTTTTATACAAGTTATAAACTGTATATGTATTTTATCTACAAATATGTTGGGTAAAACATGGGTAGACGAAATAGTTGATGTGTGTTAAAATGATGAGAGGCCTCGATGTTGTTGTTGTTCCAGTCATCTAGCGGAGTATGGATGACGACCACGGACTTTTCTAGACAGTCTAGTGGAACGCTAGCAGGCTCGCAACCTGTAGGTGTTTGTGGGCTTGATGTTCACCGGTGTACTCCATCCCCCTCATGGTTGCCTTACGGACATATATGGCTGAGGAATCCCCTTAGCAGTAAAGTCCATCCCGATGATAAAATCCTTAGACTAGGTCCCTTGTATAGGTGTTTAGGGACGTAAAGTGAGGATAACGGGAATGGGTAATCAGGGTTATTGTTGGTTTGATAAAATTAATAAATTTATTGTTGATCGATGAAATTAATAAATTTATTATTATTTGTGGGTTGAAAACCCTATATGCTCACCAGGCTCCCAAGCCTGACCCACTCAGCTTTCTGTTTTACAGGTAGTGGACCCAGAGCATAATTTGGATGATGATGAGGGATTTTTGGATTATAGGCCATTAGTTGTAAATAACTGTTGTAAGGCTTATAATGTACTGTTTATGCTTTTGATTTGTATCAAATATGACATCCCGAGTCTTTTTAATGAAATACATTTCTACGGAAATGCTTTGATAAATCTTTATCATATTTTTATTTTGGGAACAAATTCCGCAACACTTTTATGTAAAATATTACTCTGATTTTCAAACAAGCATAAACAAAATCGGTCTTTTCTGGCCGTGAAATT